ATAACATAACATAACATAACATAACATAACATAACATAACATAACATAACATAACATAACATAACATAACATAACATAACATATAGATTTGAGTAAGGCCACTGTAGCATTTTTGCAAATGAAAACCTCCATATTAGGTATTCTTAAAGAAATTAGTGGTGCCATAAGGAACATTAAAAGGTTCTCTTGCCATACCTTGGGTGAGATGTTTATAACAGAACAATGAAAAACAACAGGTAGAAACATTAATGTGAATCCTATAGTTTTGGACCTACAGAGTTCTAAATGTTTCGCATTTTCATAGTCAGATGAAGAACATCTGCATCTACAACAAACTACAAGCAAATATATGATTTCATCAGGAGTAACAGGTACTGCCAGTTTGGTGTAATGGTTAAGGCACCAGCTTAGAAACCGGGCAACTTGTGAGTTGTAGTCCTCCCTTAGGTACAAAGCCAGCTGGGTGACCTTGGGCCAATCGCTCCCTCTCAGCCCTAGGAAGGCGGCAAGGGCAAACCACTTCCAAAAATCTTGCCAAGAAAACTGCAGGGACTTGTCCAGGCAGTCGCTAGGAGTCAGCACTGACTCAGAGCTGTATGCACGGACACGCGCGCGCACACACAATAGGTACTGCTAGATATAATGACTGAATGACTACTTGCATTATCACATGTTGCCTCTTTTGCTTTGTTTTATGCTCTTGCAACCTTGCTTACCTCCAGGTCATAGAGATATCTGAAGTTATTCTGTTGGTTAGCAGCTCTCCTTACAGCTTCAGCCAACTCCATAGATCCTCTGCCCCCCTCTGACCAGTGCCTGCAAGGGACTGCATCAGAAGCTCCAGACTGCTTGGCCATCTCGCAGACTAAATTAATCTCAGCAGGAGAGTCCGTTCTGCCAACAAAATAGTTATTGGATTATTTCATTTGTGATGGTATTCATCAATCACAGTCAGGGTTGGTTTAAGGAATTTGGGAGTTCAATGCAACATCAGGTTTGGAGCCTCCCACCCGGCCCTAGAGTAACACTGCAGATGGACTCCTGCAGAATGAGATGGTGGTGGTGGAGAAGGAAGGACAGTGTGCTTTAGAGGAAATAGCTCTTTCTGCTGACAGAACATTATAGGAACAGAGCAGCACCATTCACTATGCAGGAAAATCCTGCTTAGCAGCTCTGTTAGCCTCTGGGTGGACCTGTGACCTCAAAACCCAACTACATAGACAAGCAGCTATAGCCTCTTCATTTTTATGCCCTCAGCTCAACTGCCTATAGCCTGCTTCTGCCTGCTGATCTGCTTGATAGGAGGCACTTTCTGGGGTAGTTCCATATGCAGTGATCCCTTTAAAGTGGCCCTGATCATATTTACTTAAAGGTTCTCCATGCTGGAATAGGGAGGACAATAGTAGATTTGGGAAGACTAATTCTATTAATAAATATCATTGAATATCTATGCGTATAAACCTTGCACTGTCTCATTTTTAATTCCATGGTAGCTAAGTAGTCCCAGCGAGAGCAAAGTAATTTACGCACATATGATGAGCTCAGATATCTGATGACACCTAAAAATTAGTCATGGCAATAGACATTAGTTTGCTGAAAAGGTCAGAAGCTATCTTTTTTTTCGTCTCCCCCCCTCCATCCTACTGCTTGTAAGAAGTAAACAAAATATAAAAAATAACCCACTTTCCTTAATTCTGGAGAAAGCTTTAATGATAGGAGACGTGGAAGGAAAAAGCAAACCAAGACAACCAGCAGCAAGGTGGGTGGACTCAGTTATAGTGGAGATGGGTACACCATTGGAAGAACTGAAGGACCGGGTTGGGGACAGATTATACTGGAGAAAAATCTATCTTAGTGGTCACTAAGAGTTGACACTGACTTGATGGTACATAACTATAGAAGAATAAAGAATGGCCTTGAAGGACAGGAGAAAGAGTTGCTATCAAGGCAATGATCAGATAAGAGGGGCTTGAGCCTGGGCCAAGAAAATAATGTGAGAAAACATGGGCCATCTCACAGACTAAATTAATCTCAGCAGGACAGTCCATTCTGCCAACAAAATATTATTGGATTACTTTACTTGTGATGGTATTCATCATTCATAGGCAGGGTTCATGTGAACATAAAGTGAGGGAGGGGAAAGCACATTCAGACTTGCAAGATTCTGTTATATTGCAGTTACAATAAAAGTAATCCTGAACTATATAGCATTGGTTTCTTAGTCTGGTCTAACTTGTTGGGCTGACATCAATCAATCAATCAATCAATCTCCCTTATTAAGTTGCTACATACATTCAGTGCTTTAAACTTGGAAGAGAAGGGGCTGTTCAAATTTATTAGGAAAGAACATGCTCCAGTACAGAAGGTATTCTCTGTTCTCATATCCTATATCTGAGTGTTAGCTATAGTTACTTCTTTGTGAGACAGATGTACCCAATTTCAACTTTTTTTCCCCATAAGCTTATCCCCAGGACTTGCCAGGACTGGATATAACTGATGTCTGGCACAAATTAAGATCTGAATTGTTACTTACAGGGTGGGACTTCTTGCCTCAAGTGTCATATAACTTTAAATAGGATTACTGGAATTCACACTTTTATTGCCATTATTATTATTATTATTATTATTATTATTATTATTAATAAATTCAGCTTGATTTTCATCAGCTTTTAAAAAGGAACACTACTGTATCAAACTGTATACATTTAGGTGGTTCAACAAAGCAGTAATATTGGTATCCTAATAATAAGAACTGTGCCTGAATGCAAGATTTGCTCTTTTAAGCATTTGGACAGCTATTCTGTACTTTAGAAGATTATCAACACCTGTATAATCAAAAAGAACCTGTAGAACTGGTATTTGACTGGATATGTTCAACAGGTGGCTAGATGAAAGATCTACTCAAGTCTGAAGTCCAGAAATGTACATAGCCAATCAAAGCAGAAGCTCAGCATGTCTTCTCTTTTTGTAGAAAACTCAGAACAAGATAATTGCATAGTTCTAGGATGTTGAAAGCAATATCTATAATGAACACAGGGTTGCAAAAACAAAACAAAATTCTGCATGCATACCTTAAAATAAATGTTCTGTCTTTTTCTACAAGGTGAGTAGTTTATAGGCATTCACTAGCAGCAAAGAACAGCTTCAGGAAAAATGAAAGCAGAACACGAAGAAGAATGCAGTCTCAACCACTTCACTTTTTTGTGTTTTTTTTAAAATTGGGAAATTCCAAACAAGTGATTTGGATATGTAGTTTATCCCTTTTTCAGAAATGGCTTTGAATATAAACTTTAAAATGACAATGATTCATTAAATAAATTGCAAATTTAAGAAAATAAAGAATGTAAAAATAAAGGACTGATGATCAACATATGACATTTTCAGTACATTTCTCATATTACCGAATCTGTTGAAATAAATGTAAGGATTTGAGTATGGATGTCTGCAAGCGAGAAGGGGAAAGGAAGGGCAAGGGCAAGAGACTGAAAATGACAACATGTGTATGATGACATCACCGTACCATGCCGTACCTATTTGCATCAGGCATTGGGATGCAAGAACGTAATGGTGGTACTTGCCCAAAGATGTCATTGCATGTGAGTTTTGGCATCACTGAACTTTGCTGAGGATGCCATTGGTCTTGAGAAAGCACAGAAAGTTGAAAATAGGTTTACGTCAAACTCCTATTCTACAATGATGCCAACTTTGCAATGATTGAAGTTGGCTAGAACTTAGAATTCTACATATATTTGTAAAAAAAATTTTCACTGGGTAAAACTTTGAATCAACATAGAATGTCTACAATATGGTGAGAGCTGAATATCTCCCACATAGTCTGGAAGCTGCTATTGTTTTAGAATCATAGGGTTGGAACGGACCTTGGCGGTCTTATAGTCCAACCTAGTTCTTCTCAGATTCTCTATTTTCTTCCTGTCCCTTGGGTTGCCTCTTCTCCATCACTTCTATTGCCATATCTGTTGCTTGGCTCACCTGCTGGTTTTCATATCCACCACCCGCCCCCGCCCCCGTCAACTCCTTAATGCTGAGATTATATTTTAATGATGTAACACTGGCAGCCAATCTCCAATCCACACACAACCTTTCATAATAGTTAATAAAAATTTGATTTCAGAGGAATAAACATAGGATTGGATATTCACATCTAGTTTAAATGTAAAATATAATTCTCATAGTTTTTTTCTTAGGTGTGTAAAAGACAAATGATTTTACCTGAAAACATTAAGAGCTACAACAACAGGAACCCCAAACTGCTGGGCAATTTCAATTTGTTTCAGCAAATTGCTGCAGCCATCAGACACCAGCTTGAGATTCTGCATGGGGAAGGAAAGAAAACCAACAATAAATAGAAATTTTAAAGAGGAATAAAAATGTTTTATTACTGTGCTTTTAATAAAGAATAGGGATAAGTGCAATGAATTTCTGTCCACCTATGTTACTTAGTTCTTATGTCCAACTACCTTATACCAGTTCTATAGCTTCTACAGAGATGCCTGTCAAACTCCCTATAAAGGAATGAACATGTGTTAAGAGAAACAAGGCATAGGAAATGGAACAGAGATTTCCCATCTCCACCTGAAAGTCTTGTATATTAATTACCCTCTATCCTATAGGTGATGATGATGTTGATAATGATTTGTTAGATTTATATCCTTCTGTTTTCTATAAGTGTCAAGTGGCTTACACAGGGATCTACATTCATTTTATTCCTGTAACAGCAATGTTGTGAAGTAGGTTGGGCTGAGAGACAGTGACTGGCCCAAAGTCACTCAGTTTCCATGGCTGAGGGAACACTTGAATCTGGACTGGAATGTGAAACCTATTCTATTGAAAACTTTTCCAGACTACTGTCTTTCATACTTAAATGAGATTATATTCACTCATAAAGTATACATAACAAAACCTTTAGTGTACTATTGGCTGACCAAGACTGATGAATGAATTTATATCACTGGTCATGTGGACCTGCTGTATGAGATTTTCAGAGCATTTTGAGATCATTCCTGCCTTCAACATTCCTGGGAGCACCACTTAAAAAGTGCATATGCACATGCTCACACTACATTTTTAAAAATTAGTTAGATCAAGGTCTGAGTAAAAAAGGAATGAATGTTGGGATCTGAGTGGAAGAGAAGAAATAGTGTGACTGTGAAAACAGAGAAGAGAAACACTAGCAATGGATTGTGTGCCAACAAGTGTGTGTTTGTGAAAGACAAGAAGTCGTATCCTTTTATCTCTTATTGTTTAAGCAACTCACAACAGCCTTCAGAACCTCTGACTCTGCTATTCTTTTGCCGTTAGAAAACTGATGATATTCAGGAGACTAGTTTGCTTCAATGCCAAATTTAATTCCCATCGTCTTCTTTGTGAAACCCAGAACAATTTACAAGAAAATAATAAGAACAGTTTTAAATAAATGATCATACTAATATCATCAATCCTTAAAAATAATACATACAAAAATTGCAAAAAGCAAATTAAGGTAACAGGCAACCTAAAAGACAGTCTGGTCCTAGAACAGAACAAACATGTCATCAAACATTATCTTTGATCTTAAAGATTATAGCAGGAGGTTAGCCCTATTTTCCTCAGGACAGAATTCCATAACTGGGGTTTGGCCACTGAGAAGATCTCTCCCTTTCAAAGAATTTTAGGCTGGTTTCAGTTCTCCCATTCCTAGTCAAGATGACTGAGCAAGTGGTAAAAAATCAACTCTAAGCGCTCTTAGAAAAAATTGAATATCTGGTTTCAGCCTGGCCATAGCAAAGATGGCTTTGGTTGCCCTGATGTACAATCTTCCATGGAAGGATGACAGGGATAACTTGCTCCTGCTGGTGATACTGCCTATCTTGAAGGTCTTTGATACCATGGAGCATGATGTCCTTTCAGAATGCTTTCTGGAGAAGGAAGTTGGGTGTTATGCTTTTGTTGCAGTTCCTCCCCTACCTCATGGGTAGCATTCAGAAACTAGTGTTGGGAAACTTCTGCTTCACTCCATGGTCAACAGACAGGGATTGTTCTTCTTCCCCCATGCTATTTAACAATTTTATGAGGATGCTGGACATCATCATGAAAGGTTGTGGAGCTGCATGCCATCTCTGTGTAGATAATACCCACCCATACTATCCTTTCCCATCCTTGACAAGTGCACCAAACTCACTGATTGCCCCTGCTTGGACTAGATGTGTTCTCGACAAGAGGTGTAACAGACTGAAATAGAATCCAGACAAATCTGAAGGCTTGATGCTTGGGAGAGCTTTCAATCAATCAATCTGAGGAACCTTTTATTTGTTTACTAAGCTTATATGCTGCTCTAATTATCAACCTGCTCTGAGCAGCTTACAATATGTAAACAAAATTAAAGTAGCAAAAATAGCCCAGAGATAAGCAATATCCATCCATCCATCCATCCATCCATCCATCCATCCATCCATCCATCCATCCATCCCAGAGAAGGCTATTCTTCCCCTCAGGGCACAAGACCACTGTGTGGGGATGATGGTAGACCCAAACTGTTCCAGAGTGCTGAGGTCAGCATGATGGATAGGGGTGCTTATTACTCTCTGGATGATTAATCAACTCCATTCTTTTTGATGAGGGCTAACCTGACTGCCATTACCACATGCTGGTTGCCTCCCAGTCAGACTGTTGCAACATTTCTACATGGGGATGCCCTTGAAGGAAGTATGGAAATTGAAATGGGTCAGGAATGTGGCAGCTAGGCTCCATTTGGACTACCCAGAAGAAGCAAATAACTTCTCTATTGGCTAAGATGCCTTCTTGAAACCAACCAGGGTAAAGCTTTTTAAGTGGCAGCACCAACACTCTGAAATTGTAATGGCATGTGGGAATGACCTTGGGACACAGAAGGAAGAGCCACAGCCTAGACAACATTCTGATAAATGAAATTTGAGTTTGAAAGAGGAAGGGTGGCAAAAGCACCTCAGAAGGGACCCACCCTATTTTTCAGGAGAGTAAAAGTGAAGGAAGGAGGGGTACTTTCAGACTTGCAACATTCTGTTAATGCAACCTTACAATAAAGAGAGCTAGTACTCCTGGGTGTGCTTCTTGTCTGGACTACCTCAAAGGGATAACATCAACCTTACACGGTTCAGTCTATTCAGTCAGCCTCTTCTTTTTAAAGAAAAAAAATCTCAAACTATATTTTTATTTGTTACCTTTCTCCTCATGGCAGCCCTATTTGCTGCCTGTTTTTATTGCTGATATTGTGTGTTTTATGCATGTTAATTGTATATTTAATTTTGTTTTACAACTTTTCTATTTATTATTTTGATGTAAGCATTTTTGCTGTTTGCTTATGATTTTGATAATTTTATGATGGTTGTAGTTTACCTTGGGTGAGTTTTATTAGGTTTTGATATTTTTTTCCTGTTAACTGCTGCAGGCCAGCCTGGGACTGGAAGCTTGTAGTATGTAATTGAACAAAATAAATGAACAAATAAATAAATATTCTCAGCCGTAACACTATGAACTGAACTCTCTTGAACTATAATAGAGCCTCCCTAGATAACTTTATTGTATGAGTTGGATGGTATTGGGGAAAGCAGACTTTTAAGTGCATTCAGTTAAGCCATTTAGTAACAGATACTTTTGGAACAGATTTTAATATAGGCAGAAAATGTTCTCACCTCTTCTGTATATTCTTTCTTAAGAGGTACACCAGCTATAACCTGAAATTACAAACACATAATTAAAGAATTGTCATATAATGTAGACATACCTAAATATGTGATTTCATGATTTCTAGAACACAGAAACCCTTTAAAACTTCAATTTGAATATTTATATAAAAACCAAAAATGTTAGTCTTTTTACATATATTTTTAATTACCAACATTTTAATAGGGGGATTTTGGAGCAGTGCTTTTTCCCCATAAATTTGTACCTTATCTAAGTAAGCAGATTCTCAGTGCAATGCATTTTGGCAACACCAAATCTCTAGTCCTCTGCAAGTCCAAATGCAACCAGACATACTAGATTCAAATTCTGAATCTAGTTTTTAACCTGAAAATAAAGCTATTTCATTTAACTAACTTAACCATAATGTTTTGAAATTAGAATACCTAATAATTGACTGTACTTTCTGTGCTAGCAAATAAATATTTCTAACCCTATATTTGCGTGGGAATTTGAAGAAGAGAAGCAGTTGCAGGAGGTGGACTCATATCTTTCTCTTTGCCTTGAGAAGTACTCCCCTGGCTTCTGTCTCCATTCCAATTCATGTCAGCCATACTTCCTTCAGGCTTCCTATGTGATTAAATCAACTTAAGGAACAGAATACAGCCAAGGAACAGAAACTGTATGAAGAGAAGGTTAGGGAACCGCTGCTCTTAGATTGTACTCTGTGAACTGGTTAGAAGCTTGAGTGGGCACAAAAACAAATGAGGCATAAGATGGAAATAATCAACAAACTACATTCCTTCATTTGCTCATCATGCTAAGCCAGAGTTTGTAACGGGAAAGACAACAATAAATCATAGCTTCAAACTGTGATTTACAGCCTAACCCTAAGTACGACTTAGTCCCTAACTCTGTTTGCCCATCGAATAAAGCCCTTTAAAATAAACCTAATGGCTGAGTACAATATGTCAATCCAGTTAATAAATTCCAGCTCCCCACTAAGAAATCATGTTCTTGCCAAATCCTGAACAATCCTATTACTCAAAAACAATTACTAAGAAGTATAAATCTAGTAAACTACACCTGGTAATAATTCAGGGGAAATTAAAAAAAAGAAAAGAAAAGAAAAGAAATCCTGACATAGAAAGGTGAACCAAAAAATGTTCAGGGGAAAACATTTAGGTTATGGCTTATTTGTTGGTCATCTGCTTTTCTTCCTTAGACTGAATATCTTATTTATTGGAAGAAAAGGTGAATCTAGGCTTTTTAAAAAAAGATTTCAATTGTGCAGTCTCCTTGAGATCTCAAAGAAATGCATTCTCCATATCAAACAACAGGGCTGTCAGGCATAGAATTATTGATATTTTTTACCGAGTCTGCAAACTTCTATATTCAAAAGATGTGAAGAGAATAACACATAATATTAAGGCTGCATTCCAGAATAACATAATATTATGGCTGCATGCCAGCAAGATGAATGGACTTTATACTTCCCAAAGTATAAGTGAGAGAACACATTTGCAAAATATTAAGTAGAAAAAGTAATTTGCAGAAAGATGTTAAAGATAAGGATGCAAAAACCAGGACTTGAGGGAGTTTTAGCATGATGTTGAAGTATTAACATAAAATGCTACAGCTGGACAAATCTGGGCAAACACTAGATGGTAGCAGAGTTGGAGTTTTCTTTAATTCTTTGCTGTCATCCAACTTTTTGCAGCTTAGATATAGTAGCTTTAGGAATGAAGAATGAAGGAATGAGCCAAAAAAAGTACAGAGAAGCAAAAGTGAAGACAAGAAATGTGTACGTGTGAAGGCAATCAGGCATCAGTAACAGAAACTGTAGCCGGATTGATTATAACCAAAGTAGCTAGCATATAATCTTGGAAGCAAGATGGTTGAAATAGGAACACTAAGTATTTGTAGTTAAACAGCAGCATGGAAATATGGAAATCCTTGGGAAACGGGGAAAAAAAGGATCAAGTTCAAACAAGAAATTAAAATTAAATTACCAAGAAAAAAGTGCGGAATCAAAAGATAAAAGCCAGACTGCATGCCTGGATGACAGACTGAGAGAGCAGAAAGTACTGCAAGAATTTTGGGAGGGAAGAGAGAAAAAATAAGCTCTAATATATGTGCCTCAAAGTCTTGCTACAATCCAGATTTTTAAAAAAGATAAAGAGACAGGGTGCAATTTAGTCAAGTTGAGCACTTTTAAATTCCATACGGTTAATAATTCCCTCCCACTGAATTTAACAGATCAAAGTTCTTCACTTTGATTGGAATGTATCCATAGTTGGCTTAAACAAGGAAAAAATTAAGGGGATGTAAGAAACAGACTTAGGAACTAGCAGTGGGTGACAGTTCAGACTGTGGGACCATGAGCCAGTTATTGCAATCTAAAGGATGAACTTCAAGGGTAAAAAAGAAAAGTAAGAAAAATAGCAATCAGATTTCATTCCATTTCCTAAGTCATGTTGAGAGCCGTCCTTTTTAATACCTCCAAAACTGTCTACAAAGACAATGCCACTCTTGACAATGCAGTGAGAGACTCTTAATTGGCTTGCAATGCACTAGGAGTCAATCCAACCATTTCCATAACTGAGATGTTTATACATATTTCAAATGATAAGGGATTTAAAAAGTAGGGAGTTCTGAAGATTTATTCTTTGTTTTATTTGAGAGGTAGAGACACTTACATTTGGCCCCCCTCCATGCATCTTCAAAGCTCTCACTGTAGCCACAAGCACAACCACACTGGGAATCAGGCCAGAAGCTCTGCATTTGATGTTGAAGAATTTCTCCATCCCAATATCAGCACCAAAGCCGGCTTCAGTTACTATTAGGAATAAAGAGTTAATTTAAGTTAGGGTGGATCAGTGAACCCAGGAAATTAAGTTTCAATCGCTTCCCTTAAAAAAAAAAAAAAGGCATTTGTTTTGTACACATTTACACAACGTACATCCAAATGATCAACAAACCATTTCTGAGGGGAAAAAACCCCACCCTCCAGCTGTTAAAATGAATGTGTTACGAGAGCAGCTTAATAATTCCTTAGTACAAACAGTTATTTGTTGTTTGCTTCTTAGATTTATACCAATAGAGGAAAATAAAACATACAGTGTAAGGACTGTAACAGCCACAATGTAGGACAGACAGGCAGAAGACTGGCAGAGCACATCCATGAACACCAACCAGCAGTCAGAAGACACAATGAAAACTCCTTAATCTTACAACACATGGATAGACTTAACCATAATTTCAACTGAGAAACTGTCAGTATCTTAGACCAAGCTGAATCCAAAAACTCGAGGGAATTCCTGGAAGCTTGGTATTCAGACAAGTCAGCCATCAACAGTCACATAGAGATAAACAACATTTACACACTATTCAAAAAACACAATAAAAAAGAAACAAAAAGACCAGAACACCTCCTCACCAGCAATCAATACCTAGATAAGCAGGGACTAACACCAGGATTAACAACAGACAAATAATCAAGCAGCAAACAGTACCCTAATCAAGGAATTATCAACTCAAACAACCAAGTAGTAAACAGCCTAATCAAGGAACTACCAAGGAGAAAACAACACCCCCACCAACACTGACAGGGCAAGATACTGTATATAAACAGGGAGCAAACCCCACTCCCTTCTAGCATTGAAGATGTTACCTAGATGGGTAATGAAGGTCTGCAAGAAAACAACCAAGCTCAGAGAACCCCAAGGACTCTTAGGTTTATATCCCACCTTTCCTCCAGGGAAGCCTA